GCACCCAAACAAGCGATGTCAACGTAGCTTTGACAGTACTGTTGCTTCTGCAACTGACAGACTTCATGATGACGTCGCTTTTTCTGTATAGATATAACAGCTTGTTATTTTGTGTTGTTCTGCCGGGTACCGACTTCATCGCGCAGATGCTGCCGTTTCTGAACATACTGTTCGAAGCAGTGGTCTCAGCAGTAGACATCAACCAATCATAATGACTATGTAATACGCATGTTGAGGGAGAGAGAAATATATATATATATATACACATAGAAATTCCAAGTTTGCTTGCTGATTTGTAACACTAGAAGAACTGAAAAAAAAATCGATCTCTGCTCCAGGAGCTCTCGGCTCAGTTTTGGTCATTCTTGCTGTGTAAAATGTCTTGCTCTTTTGCCGGTATTAGAATAGAAACTCACTATACGATTTCTCTGACCGCCTTGCGCCTCTTTCGCCAATGTATGGAAGAAACGTTTGGGAGCCCAAGGACGATTGACAGTCAGATTTCTGCTGGAGATTGGAAGGAAGCATGGATGTCATGTCTTGAGTGCTTGGAGCAGACAGAGGGCAGAGTCTATGACTTGGAAGGCGAAGACTGCAGCATCTTGGCCCGGGTCAGACGTCTTCTCTGCGTGGCCTCCATGGACGACTGGTCCCTTCTTAAGGTTCTGGAGAATAATGCAGCAGTGTTGCAGCTGGAAGCGGTCGTGCCACAAGGAACCTCCTGGCGTGACTTTCATGCCTTCGTCGGCAGGTACCATAAGAGTCAGTTTGAAACTGCTGTGGGCGACCTCGGCATGCTGCGTGCCGCGTGGGAGTCTGCAGCGGAGGTGTCGTTACCATATGCCGCTTGGCTGTGTATCGCAGAAGTGCAACTGGAGGAGACTTTCTGGACTTTGTGACCGTCCGCGGTTGTCCGTAGGTGTCCGTGCTGTTCGATGTAGCTGTTACCTTATCTTGAACTTGATCCAGAGTCCGTGTGCAGTATATACCGTTTATAGCCAAAGGAGCTAGCTTTAGCTTGCATGGATTGACGCGCCGTGCGAAGATCTAGCGCCTGAACGCGGCCATGTGAGCGACAGAAAAAAGATCACGTTCATGACCGATCAGAACAGTTTCTGTGCAATCGGTTGCCGCTATTCTTGTGTTGCTTGCTTTCAGTGGGAGCTACATTACTGCACTTGCCGCCGTCGCTTGGCAGGTCCACCACGCTGCGATGTCGTGATCTTTGCTAGTGCTGTTGCAGTTGACGGTGCTCATATGTCTGTTATCAATCTGTGCTTCTGAAACTAACAGTCTTCGTGACAGCCGGTGTTTTCTGTTGTTCTGCCAGGCACCGACTTCGTCGCGCAGATGCTGCTGTTCAATACATGCATACATACACACACACACACATACATACATACATTCATTACATTACCGTACATTACATTACATACATACATACATACATGATGTGTATATATATATGTATGTATGTATATACATACACGTTTGCCTCATAGTCCGGTACAGTCCAACTCTCCCCCCCCCCCCACCCCCCCCCTCCACACCTCCCGCACCCTAAGCAGCAATTCAAAATACTGTAAAATTTACAGTATTTTTGTGTCTTTTTCGGATTAAAAACACGAAACACATTTTTGTCTACATGGTTAAACCTCGTACATACCAGTTGTTTGCTAGGTGCTGGCCAAAAAACCCGTTCAATGTACCGTGCTTTTTACTACCATAGGGCAAAAAACAATCGTAATAACCGTGTTTTGGGCTTCCGACCCGCCAAAAACATTGTATTTACTGTGTTTTTTGCTCCGAGAGATTAACACACGCGAAAGAAAACACCCCTGATTTGACGATTTTTCGGCCGACTACGGAACCGAGCAAAACGCTTCAGGGTACACCAACACCACAGAACACACGGCAACAGCAAACAGCAACAACAACAACTGACGACAACACCCAACAACACCATCAACGCACAAACGCACAAACGCAACAAACTCACACAGCACAACCACAACACAACAACAACAACAACACACAACACACAACAACACACAACAAAACACACCAACACACAACAACACACAACAACACACAACAACACACAACAACACACAACAACACACAACACACAACAACACACAACAACAACACAACAACACACACAACAACACACACACACACACAACACACACAACAACACACAACAACACACACACAACACACACACAACACACAACAACACACACACAACAACACACAACAACACACAACAACACACAACAACACACAACAACACACAACAACACACACACAACACACACACAACACACAACAACACACAACAACACACAACAACACACAACAACACACAACAACACACAACAACACACAACAACACACAACAACACACAACAACACACAACAACACACAACAACACACAACAACACACAACAACACACAACAACACACAACAACACACAACAACACACAACAACACACAACAACACACAACAACACGCAACAACACACAACAACACACAACAACACACAACAACACACAACAACACACAACAACACACAACAACACACAACAACACACAACAACACACAACAACACCAACACCATCAACAGCAGCAGCAGCAACAACAGCAACAACAACAGCAACAACAACAACAACAACAACGAACACGAACAATACCAACACCAACAACACGACCAACAACACCAACACCACCAACAAACCCAACCACACCAACAACACTAACAACACTAACAACACCAGAAACACTACCACCACAACAACAACAACACCAATACCAACAACACCAACAACACCAACACCACCAGCACCACCAACACCACCAACACCACAACACCACAACACCAACCCCAACCACATCGCCGAAGCCTTTCAGTCGCTTTTACCAGACTCCCCTTCATATTTTTGGAAAGAAAATGGCCGCGTCGCTTTTACCAGACTCCACTTTATGTTTTTTTCCCTGCCCTCTCCCCTTCATTTTTTCTTCGGTTCCTTTCTTGCTTACCTACCTTTCGTGTTCCCCCTCTCAAGTAATATTATACCATATAGTCAATATAGTATATTCCTTTTTTGGCGTGGTCCGAAATCCAGAAAACATATGACTAGAAGCCCTAAAGCTTCACCATCGCCGAGGGTCGAACTGGTTTTGGAACTGGCGAATCACAGCAAGAGATTCAGCGATGAGGCCGAAGATTCGTCGGAAGCACGTGGCACATGAGATCCTACAGGGTACTGTTATTGGTTCAAATCGATAACCCAAATGATCAGAGGCCCTCTGCAATTTCCGTCCTCAGCGGAAGAAAAGATTAAAACCGCTGAGAACAAAGTTTTTTTGGCCATTTTGGAGTGGAGTTTATTGTTTGAGGTGCGTGCATTTTTTGTGCGAGCCAACCTGTACTGGGAATAAAGCCTGATTGCATTTTGGCAGGTGGAGGTCCCCTATAAATCTTTATCTAAAATCATGGAAAATATGCAGTTCTTCTCACAAATGTTATCATTGCCCTGAGACATACATCTTTCAGTTGCCCACTTCACATCTCCCTGGGGGTGGACTTCCCTGCCGCATCTCCGCATCTTTTTCGGCTCGGGATAGCACCAGCGCAAACGTCGAATTTCCCACCGAGGCTGCGTACCTTGGAACAGGGATCAGGGTGGAAGACCAACATGGTGTTGTTGACAAATGGGGCAAGAGAATCTAAGAACTAAGAACCACACAACGATACTCGTACCAGCTAACAGCACGATCATAGTTATTATAGTTATCACTTGATCAGCCATGTGATATATACACAATGACATGCAATGACTGTATAATATGCAATAACCTTATTGGGGAACTCCGTGTATGATTTGATCACTGCAAGGCTGGTGGTGCCGATGTCCAGTTTTTGCCCACCAAATCCCTGCATTGGTTCAAGGCAAAATCTGAAAGAAAGCCTATATTTGTGAGTAAAGACTATGGTTCCTGTAATTTCCTGTCCATGTTCCCTTAAACCATTCACAACCAATCCATTCACCAAATCCAGATTGAGAGGAATGCTTAAACACTCTTGTCAGGAAAAACGGGCTAGCGGCTCCTGGGGCATACTTTGGCACAGTGCGTAGTGAATGCTACTGGTAATCCATGATTTTGACATCAACAGCATGTATCAGTTGAGCTGAGGTTAGGACGTCGCCAAGGGCATGGCCAAGCCATCCCCTGTCTTGGATGCCTGGCTGACATCTGGTGCCATTGGGGGATTTGAAGTTTCCAATGGCTTCAATGTGACCTGATCAAAAGATATCAAAAGAGGATTTCTTCCTGCCAGCCAACAAGAAATGGGCCTTAATCTGTGGCCAACTATATAGTTACAAGATGTTACAAAACGTTGCAAGATCGATTTCACTAGCAGCAGATAGATCAAGAGCCTGTATCAAAGGCAGCAGCTGTGTTTGGTCTTTGGAAATTGAAATTTGGTTTGCCTTGTGGTTTTACTGCGATTTGGATTTGGGACGGTTGAGTGTGGCAAAAGCAAACACATGAGCTGCATGTTTATTGTGGAATTCCCACAAAATGCGCATAGCCTGAGGATAGCCCCAACATGTAGCACGTGCTACCCTCCATAATCATAAAAGCTCTCGAAACTCAGGTGCCCTTGAGATGATTTACAGGCCCAAAACATATGTTTTTTTGCAAAATGAAATCCCAAACTAAATCGCCAAGTCCTTCCCTGAGAATTTGGGGGAGTTTAGTATCAGAAATTCCTTGGGGATCTGTTTAAGTGAACATCACTATCTCCAACAATGAGCCAGACCGGCAGCAGCCATCATGACTGGCCTGACTGCAAGAGCGCTTTGTCGTGGTAGAAGAGGTTGGTCAGCCTAGCTTACATGTAGATCGTGTCTCTAAAACGTATTGCGCTAGTGTGTGGTGCTATTTACTCCAGATTTTCCATAGTCTTCCACTTTCTATTTCACGGATGCTGTGTTTGCATTTCCCCCCTCTGTTGTCCAAGGATGACTTCGAAAGTTTGAGAGTTCTTGGCAAAGGAAGCTGCTCTGATCAAGATTTCCTGTTTCGGGATGGTGCGCCACAACATGTGACACCATATCCCACTATACCCACAGCTCAGGTTATGGCAAAGTCTTTTTGGTGCGCCACAAGGACACAGGTGGTGACAAGCTCTACGCCATGAAAATGTTGCTTTGGCATGGCTAGTGACTGCTAGTGTGCTGAAATTGTGGGATTGGAGACTCAGCAAGCCACATATCCAGCCGCAGAACATAAGGGATAAGGCGGGCAGGTGTTGATCGAATCCTCAGCGTATCTCCGGGTATTTTGGAGGGATCAGCTCCAGTGGTGTTCCCCATCGTATCACATTCCTCATGGTTCCCCATGGTTCCCCATGGTTCCTCAGGCTGCGGAAGGAGCACGTCTTGAACCGTTGGCGGCTCAAGTTGGGCGATCCCGAAGTCGGGGGCCATTAATCCATACTAATCCCATCCCAGATGGGTTTTGTTGAAAGTTGTTGGATTCGATGTAGGTTACAGATCGTTGCAGTTTCGTGTTTTGATGGGGTTGGATCAGGCCAAAAACAGTCATTCGTATCCAATGCGAACTTGGATCACAACAGCCTGGTTATGCCAGCAAACGTTCAAGTTGGTTTCCATGCAAAGCTTGCGTGCATCAAGTCCCACATCAAAGTGTTGTCATGTGCTGGGCATCCAAGTATTGTCGAGTCCCAACAACTCTTGGCGCGGTTTCGATGCATGGCGTTCAGGCAATCAAGTTGAGCATACCAAGACGGAGAGGAATGTCCCTTGCTAGCAGTGTGTGTGGGTCAGCATTGGGTGGCCAAAGCATTTTTCAAAGGTGTCTTCCTGCTGTTTGCCAATTGTCATTTTTTTCTCCTGAGTCCCAAACATTTTGTTCCAACTAGTGATGTCCCAACCTGAACATGAGGATGCATGAGGGGCACCCCAAGTCCTCAAAACCCATTGGCAAATGGCCCATGAACTGCGATACAGTAGGGTGCACGATCTAACGGAACCAAGGTGTTGGAGCACGTGTCTCACCCTTTCATCGTTTCCCTTCACTATGCCTTTCAGACGCCCAAGAAGTGGGGCCTCCCAGGGCTGCGGGTTTTTTTTCTGCGAAGAGTAGCTGATAGCTCGTCATACGTGGAGGCCTGAATCCAATCATTTCACGGACTCTTGCGGTGGAAAAGTAGAATGCCTAACCAATGGCAACCTGTCTCCAACCAGTCAGTTTCGACAAGACTCCTGCCCCGTGCATCAACCACTTCTCGATTTTCTTAATGAAACGAGAAGCGGACTCTTGAGTGAAAGTGTGACTCAGACTCGGAGATGTGCAATACATTTTTTCCATGCTACCTGCAGACTTGAAGCTTGACCTTTCCATTTGCATACCAGATATACCAGTGCCAATTTACCCCACGTTCGTATTGTATATCATGTCTTATCAATCTTCTGGGATCGTTGATGTTCATTGATCATGGCAGCTGATGGCTGGATTTTTCTGGCCAGGCTTTATCTGGTCCTGGACTACTGCCCTGGCGGGGAGCTCTTTTTCCACCTCAGCCGTGCCGGACGATTCTCAGAAGGGCGCACGAGGTCCGGTTCAGGGCGGGTCATCGTGGTTATTCAAGGGCGCGTTAGATTGTTTAGCTACTGCTACTGGGTCAGTGTGGGATATTAGATTTGAATATCCAGGAGGATTTTCACACGCAACCCTGAAGATTGCTATATGGAATAAATATGAATAAGTAGAATGGAACAGGATGGAATAAGTTAAGAATGACTGGGATATTTCTCTTATAGACCCACTTGTTGGTGCTGATTTCAATCGAATCTCTGAAGGGTGTGTATGACCTTGGGTTATACCATCATCTGGCTTACCAGTGGGTACACTGAAGGTTCTGGAGAATCAACCATTGGCCGGTGGTAGGGAAGGGGAGGGACGGAAGTTCAATGGAGACTAGCAGAGGCTAGCAGCTAGCGGCTAGCAGTCGAGGGAAGGAATGACTACCCTCTGGTAATTTAACATAGCTATTGAAAATTGCCATTTATAGTGAGTTTTCCCATAAAAAATTGTGATTTTCCATAGTTATGTTAGTTTACCGGAGGGTAAACCCCAAGATTCGGACTCTTTTAATCTCTGCTGTAATCATTTCAGACTACGTGGATGGCACAGCTGGCTGGAGGTTCTATACTTGTGAGCTACTTCTGGCATTGGAGTACTTGCACAGCCTGAACATTATTTTCAGGCAGGTTTGAAGCGCAATTTTGTCATAATTATGTCACTGAACCATCATGCTGCTTTTCACGCCAATGTTGCTGCACATTGGAGTTTTCTCTTTCCTTTGGCTAAACTCCTTTGTTTCAGGTAGTCAGCATGGTCAATTGTAACCAGCAGTTACCCTAAGACCTGGCTATCCGTTGTGTTTCAGGGACCTGAAACCAGAGAACGTGCTGCTGGATGAACACGGTCATGTCACTTGCCGTCTAAGACCATGTATTGGGGAGATCTTGGTGGGCATATGAGGGCATGATTGAGGCAGTGGCTGCCAGGTTGATTGGTTGTCGGGAACCTGCAGTCCTATGTTCAGAAGATACTAGCAACAGACTTCATTGACTTCGGAAATCAAGCCAGTCTCACCCAAACCTGTAACCCGTATGTTTCTTGGGGCATACCATAGTCGGCTTTGCGCAATCACAGTTCCATATCCACCCCGGTCCCACTGTAATCTTACAGGTCGTCCGGAATGGTTGCTTCACATTATATGTGTATACATAATTATTCCGATATGTTTTTTCCCCTGTTGCAGATATCTCTTTTTTCCATCCAGTATATCCAGCACCCATCTGTGAGGCAAAGCTTACAGATTTCGGACTTTCGAAAGAAGGCTGGTCTCCTTTGAGCTTCCGCAACATTCCGCAACATGGGCCATGAAGGTGAAGTATACAGGAAGTTGTCAATGTGCATTGTGAATTTGGTATTTTTGACATATTTTGTCAAGAGAAGTTTTCAGAAGTCAACCTCATCAGCAGACCTTTGTGATGTGATTTCTTTGGGTAATTTTGACTTGAACGATTTTCAAAAGTTTTATATATATATGTGTAAAGTTATATATATATATATATGCATGTGTGTGCATATATTTATACATGGATGTATTTATTATATGTATTGCATGATTGACCCTGGAAGCACTGTGAACCACTAGAAATCCTCGTTGTGGCAAGAAACGATCCCATGTCACGACCTTGCGGAGGCATTTGCGATAACTTCTCGGCCCGAACGATGTGTGGTACCCCTGAGTACCTTGCACCAGAACTCCTCGATAGCAAAGGTCATGGGAAGGCAGTGGATTGGCCACTTGGCTGCGCTTGGGCGCCTGGAGCTGCGCTTGGAGCGTCCTGAGTTGTGCTGTGCAACGTATTGTATCGTGCTATGTGACGCCCATGACATGCTGGCGATATTTAGACATGACATGGATGTCAAGAGTTTGGAGGCGCAGATGTACATACTTTACATAAATGCAGTTATACAGTAATACAATTACATTTCTAACACTATAGATACTTAGATTCGATAGATGATGATGAATATTTTTTGATAGATAGATAATGGCAGACATCTAAAAATCGACAGATAATAATAGACTGATAATGATACATACATCATAATAGATAGGTAATGATAGATAAATGATGATAGAGAGATGATAATAATAGAGAGGTAATGATAGATAGATAAAAAGATAGCTTAAGTTAAATTAAATTAGATTTGATTAGATAGATTGGATTAGATTAGACTAGACTAGACTAGATTAGATTGATAGGTAGACAGATAGATAAGATAGATAAGATAGATAAGATTGATAAAATAAATAGGATATATAAGATAGATAAGATAGACAAGATAGAACATATAGAAAATATAGAAAATATAGAAAGAATTTTAGATAGACAGACAGACAGATAGCTAGCTAGCTAGATGGATAGAGATGTAGATAGGTAGATAGATAGCTAGCTAGCTAGATAGGTAGGTAGATAGATAGATAAATATGACTATGATTATTTGATGGAATATTGATGCGTAAGGGCCTTTGACCCACTGCTATTTCTTGGACTTGGATCGTTTCCAGAGATTGGAAAAAGTCACCTCCAGCAACGCCCAAAATCTACAATTCTGCAGGTACTCGTTAGGCGCTTTGGCCTACGAGATGTTGACTGGCTTGCCACCCTATTACACTCAGGACCCACTGGTCTGTGGTGATGAGGGGCCGAAGGCTAATATAGTTTGATATCAGCTCTAAGTGGGATTTGATGTTTCAGTTTGAATTCTTTGTCCCGCAAAAAAATCATCAAAATTCCATGATTGAGAACCGCTACGCTGAACAACGCTTAATAGTGTTTAGTAATATGGTTAATATTGATGTGTGAATATTGGGTTAACAATGGGTCAATAGTGGCTAGAGCGGGTAGACATGGCTTTCGGCAGGTGGAGTTCTTGAGTTTTCGTGACCAGCCGGTCTCTTGACCCTGAAATGTGACCCAAACCACTTGGTGTAGGTGTTACGGTAGTTTACTTGATGATGTTTACAGTGCACAAGAGAAGTGTATACAATTGATTGCAATTACAATTGTTTGTTCGTAATTACCTATTGAGGTATTCTATATGAGATCTGAGTGAAATCATCTTCACCTCAGGCAGTTAATTGCACTTACTGGCCTTCGCGGCCTTTGCGGCCCTTTTCACATCTCCAGGGGTCACTTGCGAGGACCGGAATTTGCTTTTCGATCGAATTCGCAGAGCTCAGTTACAATATCCGCAGTACATCAGTGCTGTGGCCAAGGCTTTGCTACAAGGCTGCGGCTCGAGGTTGTTGGCAGAGAGTTCGCACCCCCGATGTGAAGGTTGTAAGTGTTTTTGGGAGAATTCAAGGCGGTTTGCTTCTAAACCGATGATGTTGTTCTTGCCATCAAAAGGTTGGTGTTGTCGGTGCTGGTCATAGAAATTCACGAAGATGGTGCCGATTGAATCACCAAGATCAGCATGACGAGGCCTGCTAACAAGACAGCCAGAATCCCGTTTGGGAGGCGGCCCAGAAGACGGTACCTCGGCGTGTTCCTGTTGCACACTTCAACTGCACAACGTTGCACAGATTCAGCACGCAAAATATATATGGTGGTCGATCTAAAGGTCCTTGTAAGGAGTTTTAATTGCGAAAGCCGTGCATGTTATGTTGGAAACCCTCGCGAAAATTTTTTTTCGAGTTCGCGAAAGTAACATTTTTTTCGCGAAAGTTTCGCGAAAGTTGGATCTCATGATTGCCTAACATAGGTTCCGCGAAAAATAAACACAGAGTTCGCGAAAGGCGAAAGTTTCGCGAAAGTAACATTTTTATTCGCGAAGAATGGCCGTTCCCGGATAAAGAATTTTTATCAACAACCATATAATATTGTATTGTGATAGAATATGATAGAATGTAAGATGTAAAATCACCTACCATAACCTACCACAACATACATCCGCATTCCATGTATAGCATGATACACCACCACCATTCTTTTCATGGCCCAGCTCCCCACGTGACCCCCTTTTTCGGGACCCTTCCTCAGGTGCTGAAGTCCGAGCGCATAGTTTCTTTGCCACGGTGGATTGGCAGGTGTCATGGCGAAAACTGCCGTGGATGTTGCATGGTTGTCCTGGAAATTTTGGGAACTCCAATGGCCCAATGCCCCCAAAAATAGTTTGTCGTTTGTCATCATTTTACCGGATGTTTTCCCGAGGCCAACCAACCAGTTGACAATGCTTGGTGAGGATATGTAGGACCAATCGCTAAAGATCTTGGCTTTCCATGCCTGCGATTCGGTCGTATACCCCCTGGCCTTTTGAATTGCACGGGAGACAGCCAATATTTGTTGTAACTTGCCCCAAACAGAATATCACGACAGGGTTGCTCCAGACCGTTATAGGTGGATGATAGCCACAAGGAGGTTCTTTTTTATCTCTACACTTACCCAATTTACCCTCTCGTACTTGGGGTGGTGCCAGCAACCCTGAATGATGGCGCACAGAATCACATTCCATGATATGTTTGATATACACATATACAATAAATATTGATATTATATATATATATTTGTATTATGTACTGTATATACACATTGATATATATATATATATATGACATGTGACATGTCACTTCATGTTTCTTTTTGAGGTCCCGACAGGTCAACCGCTAAAACCTCATGGCACCAGCTCAGGCCCTGTATCAGCGCGTGGTGACGCCACCTTTCAAGCCGAAGGTGGCAGGTGCTGGTGATGTTTCGAACTTTGAGCTGCTTGGATCGGAGTGAAAACACTTGGTGTGGTTCTAAATGATTGCAGCTTGAAATGCTGGAAAAGCATCCAGTCACCTTTTCAGACATGCCGCATCTGACCCACAATGGACGTAGACTAGATTCCTTAACAGACATCTTTAAAGCAGCATCAAAGGGCTCCCATCAAAGAGTTCTCCTCATCACAACCATCATCACCATCATCATCATCCGCTCCATTCTCCCCATCCTGCACTCCGTGTTCCAAGGAAGGAGTTTGTGGATATGCCTTTGGGCGTTTCTGAAGCAGACGGGCGTCCTGGTGCTGGAGTTCACTTCGATGGCTTCACCTATCAGGGTGAGTGAGAGACTTTGGCTCTCAGCAATGTCAGATGACTATGGAGGAAAAAGAATCTCAAGAACTATTTGATTTCCTCAATGTTTGTTAGATTGTGCTATAGGCTTGATAGTGTTGCGAGCTGTTGCGAACTGCTTTGCAGATCATGGTCACAAAACCGTTCATAACTAATAATGATTGATGTAGTTGTGGCTATGGGTCATTATGGGTGGCTTCATTTGTTGATACGGAATTGGGTTACTTAGCAAGCAACACGTGGCTGAACGATGTTGAACGGCAGTGTTGTGGATGTCGGAATCAGTCAGCGAAGTGAGCTCCCATTGATTTCACCACAGGATTCTCAGGACAGTGGGCAGAAAAAAAAGTGGGAGACTGCACGGCTGCAGCATGCCCAACATGTCATTAAAAACAAGTGGTTACTATTGGTTGGGGATGGGGGCAAAACTCAGACCAAATCAGAGAGTGTAGCTCGGTGTCAGTATACTGCATACTCTCGGTGTCTGTCTTTATCGCGAAGCTACAATCACACAGAATCCAAAAAACCCTGCAAACCGTGCAGCGGCGAACCCAGTTTTCGATACACATGTGTGTGCTTGTCTCAAATTCATACCAGTCATTATATTTTTTTACTATGATGATATATATATATATTACGCACTACTTGTTGCTTGCTTTGTACATTTGCACAGGTGCATGCCGAAACAGAAATTGATTTGCCGCTGCTACGACCTGCAAGGTATAGAATACATCAGTTTTTTAAATTACGATCAAATAAAGTACCATAGTTTGAGTATGGGGCCATGGCTTCTGATATTTTTTTCTTTCAGAAAGCGTATGCCAGCCACCGAATCCCAACTCGATCTGAAGGTCTAGTCAGTTGATAACCACTTGGACCATCTTGGATCTTATCATGGTCAGGATGCAGACAGATCCCATTTCTGAAAGGCTCCCCATTCACAATGCACGACACGCTGTTGCCAGGTCATGCCAACTCCGGAAGATGAGACGTTCCAAGACAACGAAACGGCCTACAGAACCACCAGAGAGTGCGCCCAATTAAGGCTGAGCGGAGTTTCAGATATGACACGGGATAGAGAAGTGGGGGACTTTAATGGACACATCCAACGCTCAGAACTCTTCTCTATACGTCCTGAGTCCAGTTCCTGATATAAATTCAATCCCTTCACCTGCAACGTGCTGAGTTACATTCGAGAACGTGATGCTTTCCACAAGCGACAGATCTACAGACAGGCCAATTGGCGCCAGCTCTCAGAGTACCCTGGGGCACATGCTTGTCTCTTTTAGCTCTGGCATGTGATGACTATATGTGTCGTTTATATGTCGTTGGTGTTTTGTTATCAAATCATCCCCTCCTATGTTGACCCTTACTCACTTGCAATTTGCAAGAGGTCACTGCCTGTTGACAACAGGCCTTTGGTATGCTGCGACGGTTTGTAGAGACCATCGAAGTGGTGTTGGATGGGCACTTGCAGCCCCTTCTGGCATGATTGATGACTTGGCAGGGCGGGCGTGACATGACATGGGTGTCCAAAAGAATCGAGAACCCCAGACACATTCAAGGCATTTCAAGCCAAGGGCCCATGTTGCTGGTGCTCATCAAATGCGATATAAGTTTAGGGACGTTTGATGGCAAATCGGGGTGCAACATTTGTGACGTCCTGACTGCTTGGAAGGCATACTGTGCTTCATGTTCATCAGATCATTTGTATGAACAACACTTGCCCTGTTTTCTGCCCACATCAGGATGACTTGCAATTATGATCGAAGATAATCGAAGTAAGTTTTGGTCAAACTTCCGACAATATTATGGACAGATGAAGCAGCAGACGTGAGAAGAGTCAGAGAAGAGAAAGGAAGAAAAGAAATCAGAGAAGAGAAAAAGCAAGAGAAAAGAAGAAGTCGCGAGACGCTGTGTTTTTCCTGTGTTTTGTGGCTCAGGACGGTCGAAAAGTAGGCTCGCTAAAGCGGCAGGTGCGCAGCCATCTGGTCGGATGAGAGATCAAAAATTGATGAAAATTGCAACGCGGCTGTGGCGCAAAGCACATTTAGAAGTCAAAACTGGAGCACTTTTGGTTTGGGAGTTGAGATGCCGAAAAAGGGCACGCGGTTGTGGCGCGAAACACATTTGTAAGTCAAAGCGGCAAAAGCACCTCATGTCCGGACCACTTTTGGATGTTCAAGCGTCGTTTTGTGTGGCAGGCGCAATGGATTCTGCACCTCGTCAAAAGTGAGTCACGGGTGTGGATCTTGCAGCAATTTCAAAAACGATGGCAGGCGTGGGACATTTGAGGAGCATCTGCAAAGGTACCTGACATGTTGTGTGGCAGGCGCACTACAGGAGACACTTCGGTCAGACATGATCGGCGGTCAGGGAGCAGATTTCCTGAGAGGTGTTCTGCATTTTGGCGCATCAGATCATCAGGTTTGTTAACATGATTTCGCGTGACAGGTGCAGCACACTGCATGACCTGGCTTCACTTTTTCGTGGCAACAGTACTTTAGAGAGATGGGACGGAAAAATCGCAAAACACACTGATAGGAGGCCGTCAGCTGCGCAGCTGTGAACTTTCATTTTTTCAGGACGTCTCGCAGGATTGCTTTGCTGGATTTGTGCACATCCATTTTTTGAGGAAATCTGACATCTCACAGAATTGCCAACTTTCAGATAGATGTGTAGATAGATGGATGGATTAGATTAGATTAGATTGGATTACATTAGATTAGGTTAGATTAGATTAGATTAGATAGAAAGATAGGTAGATGGATAGAATATACAGACAGATAGATAGAATAAACAGGCAGATAGATAGAATAAACAGATAGATAGATAGATAGATAGGTCGATAGATACACAGACAGACAGATAGGTAGAAAGATAGACAGATAAGAAAAATGGACAGAGAGAAAAATGGAAAGACAGAAAAACGGACAGATAGATAGATAAATAGATAGTCAGATAGACAGATAGATGGATAGACAGATAGTCAGGTAGATAGATAGATAGATAGGTAGATAGTTAAGCAGATAGATAGACAGAGAGACAGAGAGACAGAAAGATGGATAGCCAGATAAATAGATAGATCGATCGATAGATCGATCGATAGATAGGTAGATAGGTAGATTGATAGATGGATAGATAGATACATAGATAGGTAGGTAGGTAGAGAGACACAAGGAGAGAAGGAGACAGAGCGAGAGAGAGAGAGAGAGGGAAAAAAAAAGAGAGAGTCAGAGCCTCCACCACCTTTCGGTCCATCAGTGCGCTCTGACATCCATGTATCACAACAACAAACCTCTCCTATAGGTTTCCTACTTTTCTTACTTCCGCCACTGTATTGTGCGGTTGGATAATATTGTATAATAGTGTAGAATATTGCATAATATATAAATTATATATATTTATTTATTTATTTATTTAATATATATATATATAAACGTATTGATTTATTTATTGATTTATATATTTATTTATTTATTTATATATCTTGAATTTTAAAACAATATATATATAATATCAGGTTGGTTTGCCTGTTCCACAGCAGGGCCTCCGTGATTTAGTTTGATATGCGCATTGCAGTGATTGTTAACCTTAGTTCCAACGGTGCGCTTACATTTTCAGAAGCCTTGCACGATACTGTTTGTGAGCGGACGCTGTCCCATGACGATGGATGTTCAACTGGCCCATTGCCATGGCAGGTCTTTGACCGTTTGGTTCTTAGCAAACCCACCATCCTGGAGGCGATAGGATGTGTGCTCTTTGATTTGACGCCCGTGGAAGCGGTAAAAGATTATATGTATCCCCTGCATATGTACGTGACACAGCAACTCCGCATAAGAAGTCTCCTGACAAATACTTCGAGCGCCAAGATTGAGCAATTTTTGGGGGGGATACGGGGATACCTACATTTGCATATTTTTGCTGGCAGCACATCTCATCCGTTAGCTCAGTGACCTATGGAGCCTTTGTCCACGTGGTGCAGTTTCTTGGGAGTCAACGGTGAGAAATGCAGCGGCTAAAAAATGCCATGATCGCTCTGACCTTTGGAGGTACTATTGGAACCAGAATGGCACTTACATCCTCACGGATGTCTCAAGATGTGGCTACATTACTTCATTGTCAGGTTGCAAGTGTCTTTAAGTTTGAAGCTGTGAGGTTTTTGATGCTTATGTTTGGTGGATTGTTGTGCTATGTTGCGGTTTGCAGGCAAGGGCGGCAAGGGGAAATCATGTGGATGGTGATTCCAAACGCGGATGTTGATAGACTATGTGTGTATCATGTGTATACTATGTGTATTGCCAAACCTGGAAACGTCTTTACATTTGAAGATTGCTGGGCTCAGCCGCGTGTGCTCCGCGGCCGCGTCGGGCAGGTCGATTGGGCATTCTGTGGCAGCTCAAACTGTTGATGTTCACCTGGTAGCCACAACTTCGCTGGTTGTTTGAGGTCACGCTACATGATTTCATAGGCTTCATAATACATTCAATGTATATATGGGCTAAATATGGCTCAATTATATTGAATTATCATATGGCTAAATTGACTAGACTAGACTATAACAGGCATTAACAGTCTATGATTTTAATATGTCCAACTTGCCCAACCAATAAAAAAACCGGCATAAATTGGTCCAGTGCTTCTTCCGGCTCCAGATACTCCAGGTGGTTTGGTCGGGGGTTCGCCCCATGGCACCCAAGGCGCCTGAGAACTCAGGGTGGATCATGGGCCCTGGATGAATAGACTAGATTTGATTTTGACCTGTTTTGATATGTTTTGATTAGATTGGATTTGATTTTATTAGGTTTGATTGATGGATAGATGCTGTAGATAGTTCTTGCATGTTGCTGGTGGCTCTGATTTTGCCAGGACGACAAGACCACCCCAGTGGACAAATTGCGGGCGTTCCAACGGAGTCATCAGGTGCCCCTGAGAGAGTCGCCTGACCATGGTCGGTTCGTCAATGCCAATGGTTGCGGAGTGACTTCATGT